GACTGACTGTCGACCAAAAGGCGCATGTATTGCTCAGCAATCCACTCCGTTCTCCTTTATGGCTGTCAGTCAGACCTGGACATTGAAAGTGGACGGCATGAAAAGGCCGGCCAGCTACCTTCGCTCATAGGTGCCTGGGTTCTATCTTCCGTGTTAAGTGATATAATAGGATGAGTAATATTGAGCTTAGGCTTCAGACGAGTGCTAGGTTAAGAGGGAGGGGAAATCAATAGACGAGGCTGTGAAATTACATCAACTGAGATGGTAAGAACATGTGTTACGCATGCCTAGCTTAGCCATCACCTTCCTCAACAATGGGCAATGTTAGCTGACATAAGATGGATCAGGTTGGAAAGAAGCTAGTAATGGTTCAACCAAAACATGGCTTCACCAGTCAATGAAATCCACAATAGTTATTTTAACCCAGCTAGCCAGCGACGAAGGGAGGTGTAGACTGCCTATTTGCCTGCCTGACTGGTTGGGATCCACAGGATAATGAGAACCGATGATGGCTGGAGAGATTTTTTTATTTTTTTATTGATTACAGCTTGATTCCACACAGTACTTTTTGGTAGAAGTATGTGATATCGGTAGCCCAAATTGTACAAGTCAACCATTGATATCAGGTGTGCGTCGGTAGGGGGTCGAACCCTGGACTATGTGCATGGTCGGCGAGAGTCTTAACCACTGTGCCACCGACGCACATGATGATATTGTCTTTACTTTCTTCTCTTGCTTTGTGTGCTACATGGAGGGAGATTGGCAACTAGAACTGCTTCACATCTGTGCAAACTTGACTGTTGAAAGCAGTCAGTCAGTTAAATTTTATGTCATTTCACCGCAGGTCCATTTACTCAGACTTATTGACTAACAATTGACTCTCAGCACCTTGAAAACCTTGAACCAGATAGATAACAGTCTGGTGGGGTTAAAATTGATCGTTGAACACTTGACGGATTGGTGTCATGTTTTAATTATAAGATTATTAATAGTAGTTAATAATAATAATAATTTGCTTTATGTCAAAACAGTACTTATGAAATATGGTGCGGAATTCTTAACATTTGGCAAAATATCATTGTATCTATAATTCACTCGACAACAGCAAAAATAAAGAAAAATAATATTACACGATTGCTAATGGCAATTTCTTTCGGAGTTTGCAGTGACAATATAGCCAAACTGTGTACAGAAAGTGTAAAATAATGGGGCTAAAAGTGTTAATAACCGCAATGATAAGTTAATCAAAATAGTGTCACCACATGTTACAAATAGAGGAGGATAAAAAGAGCCATTTATTTTGCTAATCACACAGTCCATTATAAGTTTCACGCTTAACACTTTCTCTATCATCACATAGAACGCAGGCTGGCCAAATAGGGTGGTGTCACTAAGGTTTTGTACTTGGTTGTGCGAGTAGTAGTAGTATACTACTAAGTAAGCAAGTAGTATAATCTACTCCTCTACCTAATGAGATACAAGGCAGGGAGAGCTGAGAACAGAGAGCGTGTTTTTTTAGAATCAGACCGAAGAGTCATTTATTTTGCTAATCACATAGTAATTCATAAGTTTCACGCTTAACACTGCCTGCATCATTACATAGAACGTGGGCCAACACACATGGTATCGTTGAGTTTCTGTGCTTGTTTGTGAGAGCATACAGTCTTTCATAACAGTAACTTCTAGTCCTCCTACCTGACGTGATGCAAGGAGCAGAGAATTGTGAATAAGGTGGGGGGTTGGGTGGGTTTGTGGTGTTCAGAGTGAGACAGTATGGATTTGGACCATTTCTCACATGATGAGTTCAGGTGTCTCAGTCGACTACAGTAGTAACGAGCTTACTGACTTAGGGACACACCACTTGCCGTACTAACAACCTTTAAAACTCTTCGGAATATGAAATAGTCCTTTTTGAGTGTTAGCCCGGGGAAGACTTAGCGTCCAGGAGGGGGGTGGAGAGCAGTAAAGTACCACAGGGTAATATGCACGAGTTAACAGTAGATTGTAACAGTAAGCGTTGAGTAATTCCAAACTGTCTTAACTTCTTAATGTTGTAGAATTGTTAGACAAAGCATTTTCTTAGAAATCGACAGGGTATGACGTGATCGAACAAGAAAGGTGAGACGACAGAACTCTATACCAAGATATTTCACGCTTGATTTATTCTCTATATCAGTTAGTGCCCAACTAAGCTACAAGCATCTTGACAACTAATGATTTCGTTAAGATCACGTTTTATTGTTGAAGGTGAAATTAACTGTCTGACGTTTGAAGGGATTTAATTTAACATATGACGACCACCACTAAGCTAATCAATGTCGGACAGAAAGTTATTCAGTCAGTTAACATTAGTCGTCAGCTGGGGAAGTAATTGACAGGCAATTGATGAGACAGTAAGGTCCTCAGAATATTTAACAAAGTCGATTTCTTCCTGAATAAGGCAAGTCATGTAAAAAGAAAGAAAAAAGGAGGAGGAGAAGGAGCAGAGAGAAGCGCACCTTGACGGACACTGGCTGGCTTCAGTAAGCAAGCAAGCAAGCAAGGCAAGCAAGGCAGAGGAAGATTCACCATTATTATATACAGTGAACTACTATTATTATTATTATTATTACTATTATTATGATTCTTATTTTCTTCTGTGTTAGACTGACTGACTACCTTTTGTGAGTAGAACTCTGTCCAAAATGTAAATTTCAACTTCTGTCTTAACTCCTTATTATTATTATTCATTACAATTTGATTATATTCTGACTATGAGTCATTCTTTAATATCTCACAGTACTACTAAATTCTTTCTCTTACATCTATCTAATTATTGAATTTATTATGATAACTTCAGGTGAACTGTACTCAGTAGTTACAGTGTGAATTTCTTTTGTAACCTTTTACCCTTTAGAGCCTATATTTGAGACTAGACTAGACTTGACCTTTTGTTTTTTATGGCACGATCGATACATTGGTGGGGTGGGGTGGGGTTTGGACAGGGGTGGGTGTATTATTGAGTGAAACGAGGAGTTTCGTTATTGAGCGAATTCATTTTCTTTAGTTACTGGATTTCATGACATGAGGTGATTGTTAAAGGAAGGTCAATAAAAAAAACAGTTGAGTAAAGATGCATAAATTATAACAATAGTAATAAATAATAATAAAACTGACTGACTGATTGGTTTGAACATAGAACTTGGCATCGAAGTGCACCAGTTCGAGTTGCCACACTCCACTTAGTTCAAAAAGCAAGAGAAGAGAGTAAAAAGAGATTCAAAAGAGAGATATTTGGAATATACACATTGCGTCATCTGTCTGTCTGTCTGTCTATCTGGATTCAACATAGAACTTGGAACCGAAGTGCACCAGTTCCAGTTGCCACGTTCCAAATAGCACACAAAGGTAGACAAGAAGATGAGTGAAGAGAATCAATAGAGTTTGACAAGTATAAGCTTGAAACAGAATGGGTAATGGTAGAAAGGAATGTGAAAGATTACAGAGACTGAATACATCTGCGCCATCGACAACGATTTTGAGCCATGTCACCTATTGTCTTCGGCCATTGATTCCTAAAGTCCCAGGGGCCCCAACCTGGAAGTCGTCATCTCCCTACCTGACTCAGTTTAACTGTCAAGGATTTCATGGATTGATGAGGTCATGTTTTTGTTTGGCCACCACTTACTCTTTTCCAACCTGTACCTATATCAGCTAGTAACGCCCGTCGAGGGAGGCAATGGTTAGGCATGCGCACCACGTGACCTATCCATCTCAATCTATGCAACTTTATAGCCTCGTCGATTGATTTTCCCTCTTTGCCTGCCTAACACTCTACGCCTAACGTCAACATTACTTACCTTGTGAAACCACCTAACGTGAGAAAGAGATCGTAGACATCTATGATTGAAAGGAGTCAACCTTTTCATGTCTTCAACTCGTATTGGTCATGTTTCAGAGCCATAGAGAAGGATGGGGCGAACTCCTGAGCACTACACACGTCCCTTGGTTGATAGCCAGATGTCAAGCCTACGCCAAAGACGGTGTAAGTTGGCAAAAGCAGCTCGAGCTTTTGGGATCATAGGAATTATTAAGAAGACAACTGCAGAGAAGAAAATTTTCTTTTCGACGAAGTCACCGTCAACTAGGCTGTACATTCGTGTATTTATATCAAATGGGTGGGAAAGTTCCAGAATAATTTCCGGTTAAGGGTAAAATTATTAAAAATTAAAATCAGGAATTAGAATGCCATAATAAACAGGGGGACGGATAAAAAAGAATAGTAATATCGAAGAACAATATAGTTTTTATTGGGTATTATAAATCACACGGAGTGGATGCATCTGCACCAGCCAGTCATTGAGAACGAAGGTTTTGAACCAGGCATATCACCAATTGTCTCCAGCTATCACTGGTTTTTACCGTCACGAGGACCCCAACCAATCAGAAAGTCTACACCTTCCTACATAGCTTGAACTAACTGTTGTGGATTTCATTGACTAATGAAGCCATATTTTGGTTTGCCCAACACCTGGCCCTATGTTAGCTAACATTATCTGTTGTCGAGGAGGGCAATCGATGGCTAGGCTAGGCATGCGTAACAACACATGTCCTAACCATCTCAATCGGTGTAACTTCATAGCCTGGTCGATTGATTTCCCCTCCTTAACCAGCACTCGTCTGAAACCTAACCTCAATATTACCAACCCTATCAGACCACCTAACACAGGAGAGATAGAACTCAGGCACCTATGATGAAAGACAGCCAGCTAGCCAGGCCTTTTCATGTCTTCCACTTTCAATATGGCCAGGTCTCACAGTCATACCAATTAACTCTAAAGACCAAAATCAGGTAGTATAATTTCTTAAATCTTACTTTCTTTTAACATCTATACCTTGAAATGAAGATTCTTTAAAAGGTATATACACAACACAATATTTTAACCATGTAAAGTTAATGACAAGGAAAGCCCCACACCCCCCCACACACACACACATACACACATAAATCATTAACTTACATGATCCTCTTTTGGTTTACATTCTTTATCGGCTTCTTGTTGTTTCTGTTGTACTTCTCCTTGTTCATTCGTAGTACCATCTAGTATTAAATCACTTGTTGATGTAGAATTATCTGTCAACTGTAATGATTTTGTAGAATATTTTGTTGAATACGATTTCTCTTTTCTTATCGATCTAACAGTGACAATTTCTTCCCATTCATCTTTATTATAAGTTGATGAGGAGGAGGAGGAGAATACTCCTGGTGTTGTTGTCGTCGGTTGATCAGGCAAATCATGGTGTGTCTGGCTATCTGCTGTTGAAGCACTGACGTCATCATTCTTTGGATCAAGAGGCATAGATGTGGCAGGAATTCCATTAGCTGCTGCTGCTGCTTGACTCGATCTTGTATCAATCTCTACTATGACTGGTTCTGGTTTCAAATAGACATTTGTTGAAAGGGAAGAAGGGGGAGAAGAAGACGTGAAGTCATTCTGCTGTTGCTGTTCCTGTTGTTGTTGCTGACTCAACTGGAATTGTTCAATAATTTTATAAGCCTCAAATAATGTTTCATATTCTTCCTTCTTAACTAACCATAATTTTGATTTTTGTACTTCTTCCATACATTTTAATTCTGATTCTCTTGATAATAAACATGCCCAAATACGTTGAAGTAAATCATTGATTGAACGGTTGTCAGACATCGTTGTTGAGGTTGTGGTTGCTGCTGAGGTTGATGAAGCCATTGGTACAGGGATTGCCTGTACTGGTATAGTCGATTCATCAGCAGTTTTTGATGACATCAATTTTAAAGGATGTTTATATATTTTACCAACGGATGACGGTGGAAGTGGCGGCGCCATCTGAGGTTTAGAATCCTTTGTTGTAGTGGTAGCGATAGCTGGCGCTTGTAATCCTCCTTCTTCATCTTCTACTTCTTCGCCGCCTTCTACTCCTCCTGATTGAAAAGTTGTTGAAGACAACATTGACACGCTATTATCATCCAGCATGGATAATCGATCGGTTTGTTTCAATCTCTCAACAACTTCTTGTTCAACCCTTCGATTAAATTGCTCATTCAATTGTCTCAACTGGAATTCATAGCTTTTTATTTCATTTGATAAATGATAAACTTGTTGTTCAGCTGTTTCAGCTCTTAATTTTAACTCGTCTAAATTTGAATTCAACAACAGCTGAGGTTCTGGTTGTAGAGGTGGCGGCGACGCTGATGTTGACGTTGACACGGATACAGACGATGGTTTAGTCAATGAATAATTGAGTGAAATTTTGAAAAAATTTATTAAAGATTGAAAAAATTGTTGACATACAACAGGATAATTAATTTCTTTACTTTTTATCTCCCAATAGGTTAACAGATTTTGTATAGCCATACCAAGTTCTTGTAATTCGACTAAGAATAATGAGGTATTTTGTTGCTGTTGTTGGCCTGAATGGTTGTCATCCATAGTTGTCTTCAGCTGATGATTAAGTTCTGTGGCAAAATTATGAACTAGGGAATCAGTAACATTAAAATTAATCTGTTGAGATATTACTGACTGGGTTACAGACTGTGTTGTATGAAGATAAACCTTGGTAGGATCATGATGACTGGTAGTAGTTGAAGTAGGCGGTGGTGGTCGACGTGATAGATTATCACTTGTCTCAGTTAGACGAGATCGTAATAAACGTAAATGATTGGTTAGATTCGCCTCTTGAAATTCATATTCAGCAAATATTCTATCATTGTCTTGATATAATTTTGATAATTGTTCAGAAAGGTATTGAATAAGAGTATCACGGTGAGATAATTCAGCTTCTAAACAAGCGATCTAGCAAGCAAGAGAGAGGGAGAGAAATGAATTGTTGAAAATTTCAAATTAATATAAAATAATAATAATAATTTTCTTTATTCCGAAACAGTACTTATGATACAGAATGGAATTCTCAGCATTTTAATACAGTATCGCGCATCCAGTTAGTACATTATTCAATAAATAAAATTCTACATAGATTAAGGGGCATCTCGGTCAGTTTTGACAATAACAAATTAGAATAAGGGACTAATTATTTTAATAACAAATTAGCATGTCGATGGCAAAGCCAAAATTGAACAGAGTGTTTGAAGGTGTTAGAAAAGTAGATACTAACTAGCATATTTACTGGCGTAAACGGTAACAAAAAGGTCGAGATATACAGAGTGTGAAGGAACGAAGAAGAATGCTTTCAGTAGAGTTTGTAAGGAAGAGACAAACAAAAAGGCACATAACAACAACAAAAAAGAGAAAAGGAAAAGAAAGAAAGAAAACGTTGTAGCTATAAATGATATGAGTTGGAAAGACGAGATCCAGTTGTTCTACTGACTATTTACTAAGTTAAAGGTTTCACGCCTAATGCTTTCTTTATAGCACAGAACATGAGCTAAGTAGGGTATGGTTGAGTTTTTGTACTTCCTAGTGCGAGCATATACTTTTCTATATAGGCTTCTGGTCTGGTCTGGCGTGATGAGATACAAGGGAAGAGTTGTGAATGAAGAGGGTGTTGTGAGTTAGACAGATAGAATAGATTTAGCCCATTTTTCACATGAGTCCATGTGCCTGTCAACCAGGATATATTCAGTTTTACTTAAGTAAAAATAAAATAAGCAATTTGCCTGATTCGAATTCGACAGTTATGACCTCTTACTCTGACTGACTACTTTCAACGTAGAACTTTTTGATGTGGTTGTGCTCTCTGAGCTGAATAGTTAATTTGCGAAGCTTTCATCACCCTACTAGGTGACATCTTCAGTGCATACTTCAATATGTTGAAGTGAGCTTTTAGATTTCTCCACGAGTTTATTAATCATCTCTCCTGGTGGGTGACCTTGGACGTGATTGCTTGTTTTTGTGTGGAGAAACTCATGGAGAAATCTAAAGGCTCATTTCAACAAATTGAAGTATGCGCTGAAGATGTCGCCTAGTAGGGCGATGAAAGCTTCGCAAATTAACTATCCAGATCAGAGAACACAACCACATCAAAACCATCCACCTGAGTTATAAATCTTCTCTATCATATCTAAACGTAGAACTTTGCACAAATGTGCAACAGTGCGACTTTTCACACTCTCCTTCCATCTAGCACAGGAAGTAATAGAAGAGATTCAAAAGAGAGATTACAAATGACAATGGATGAATGCATCTTCGCCAGCCATCACTGAGAACTATGCTAAGCGAGCCACATCACTAATTGTCTCCAAGTGTTATTGGTTCCTAGCCTGCCGAGGACCACAGTCAGTCAGGCAGATAGGCAGTCTACATTTCCCTGAGTGGCTGGCTGGCCTAAACTAACTGTTATAGATTTGATTGAGTGATGAAGTCATGTTTTGGTTTGACTATCACCACTAGCTCTTTTCCACACGGATTCTATGTCACCTTTTAATCTGGAAATTGAATATTTTTTCTACCATGTCATACTAGATGTGGACACTAATAACTAGTGTGATGTGTCTAGTCTTTTCTTTGGTGCAGACTGAGTTCTATAAGTCAGTTAGGTTTCGCAATGTGGCCACCATGATGCCACTAGGTAGCTCGCCATCACTGTGCACATTAATTTGATGATATCAGTGGTAATGTCTCTGACTGCAGCACTGGGTGATGCGGGTTCGAATCTTAGGCAGAAGGGACATGAATTCCTTCAGACTGGTTGCAGATACGCCTTGCTGATTGACTGGTGAGTGCCAACTAGCACGAAACCTAGATTCAAGGCTTCCTGTGGCGTCGATTGCCTCCAACCATCTAGTAGACTAAAATAGAGTAAGAATGTGAAACCCCACCCAGGACAAGTTGGATTTTTTTCCTTCACGTTCCCCAGTGGAACATAGAGCCACAAGCTATTGACTTGAAGTTTCTGTAGCAGTGTTTACTTTTACAGGATAGGGTTGCTAGTCTCATGCCCAATCTTTCCTCTTTACCGACTTTTATGACTGGTTTGGCGAGGTAAAGGAGTGCGTCGGTCGGGGATCGAACCCCGAACAATGTGCATGGTCGGCGGGCGTTCTAACCGCTGTGCCACTGACGCAAGTTGGATTTTGGTAAAAGCAAATCATGTGCGGATCAAATTGTAAGTCTCCTCAACATCATCATCACGTCAGTATCGAACAAAGCACAGAATGGCGGCAGTCAAAGCCCTACTTTAAAATTCATCGACTTAGGAAAAGCAGTCCGATAATGTGTCGACTGTTAAGTAATTTGGAAACTGTATCAATACTATGGAGTATCCAAAACCCTTTATCAATCAACTTCATTCAACAATGACACATGTCAGGTGATCCACAACAGAAACCTCAGTGAAACCTTAAAAGGTTGTATACTATCACCGATGATATTCCTAATTGCGGGGGACTAGATTATCCAGAAGACTCTGCCATGAGAGGAAGGAGTACACTGAACCACCGAAAGGAAGACACCAGGAAACCTGGGTTCCGCGAATGATTTATGTCTAATGTCACACAAACGAGAAGACTTCCAATCGAAAGCCAGCAAGCTGGCAGAAGAAGCAGGCAACGAAGACATGACTTCAAGTGGACATGGAGAAGACGGAGGTGGTGATGAAGACAACCAACAAATAACAACAAGCACCAGTCACTATCAAAAGAGTAAATTTGAATGAGGTCACTCCCTTCACTAATCTGGACGGTCGGAAAGGATGAAAATGTTAAAACCAGGAGATATAGAGAGCAAGTCAGGCCTTCATCACTGTGAAATAAGTGTGGAAATCTTCTGCACACAGTCGACATAAAGGATGAAATTCGGAGTTTCAACAGAAATGTTAAGTCAGTTCTTGGCAGCTTATGAGTCATAGAAAAGCATCTCTAACAGCCGCCTTAACCTCGATATTGAAGATTGGATGGCCAGCTGACACAAAGCATTAACAACAAGAAACTCTTGGAAGAATAAACCGATCAAGAACCGATTGTTCAACAAATATGACGAAGAAAGTGGAGAAGGATTGGACGCAACACTGAGGAGACTGTTGAGTAACTTCACGCGCCAAGCCCTTGAGTAGGACCCGAGAGGTAAACAGCGATTTGGACGTTTTAAGGTTGCATGGAGAAGATCGTGTGATGAGGTAATAAAAGCTTATGGACAATCATGAAGTCCGCTGAAATGGAGGTGTACTGGTGAAGCCTTATACTTTACTCGGAGCCAAAAGGAATATATATATATATATATATATATATATATATATATATATAAATAAGAGGACTCTACAAGATCTAGATTTCTCAGAGGATGTATGTCTGATGTCACACAAAATCGAAGACTTGCAAGCAAAAACCAACAAACTGGGAAAAGAAGCATGTAGAGAAGACATGACTCCGGGTGAACATAGAGAAGACAGAGGTGTTGAAGATAACCAACAAATAGCAACAACAACAACAACTAACACAAATTACCATCAACGGGAAAGATTTGACAGGGGTTGCCTCCTTCACTTATCCCGCCAGGAAGCACGATTTCAACCACAGGCAGTCGGAACGGATGAAGATGTCAAAGCCACCCGGTCAGAATCTGAAAGGCAAAATACGCCTTCATCAATCTGAAACCAGTTTGGAAATCACCTGCACTATGCCTCAGCATAAAGAAAACCATTCGGATTTCCAACGCCAGTGTCAAGTCAGCCAGTGAGTTCTTCAATACGGGTCAGAAACTTGCACAGCGTGTGTGTCACGAAAAGGATTTCCAACAGGCTGCTTCAGACTTTCATCAACAGCTACCACCTTCACTCGCTCCATACTGATGATTAAATGGCTGGCCAGAAAGAATAAGCAACAAGAAACTCTGCAGTGGAACAAACCAACCAACCAAGCGTCGATTGCTCAACAAATATGTAGGAGAAAATGGAGATGGATGGATCGGGCATACATTGAGGAGACCATCTAATGACATCGCACACAATGCAGGCCAGCGCTCCAATAGGTCACCACTCCACAGTGATATGGAGATTGTGAGAAAAGGCGATGATAAATTATGGGCAATCGTAGACCCAGATGAAGAGGGCAGCAGAAAATAGAACAAAGTGGAGATTTGTTGTTGAAGCCCTATATGCTCCACCACTCGGAACCCAAGAGAATAATAATAATAATAAATAACTGACATGACCATTGAAAGTGGAAGATATGAAAAGGGTAGCTGTTTCTCACTGCAGAGGTTTACATTTTATCTCCTGTGGTGTTAGGTGGGATAATATATTGAGTAACATCAACGTTAGGCACAGAATGCTAGTTAAGAAGGTTAAGTCAATCGATGGGGTTGTGAAACTTTACATGGGATGGCCAGGACACGTATTATGCATCCCAAACTATCGTCTTCCTCAACGCACAATGTTAGCCAACATATAATTAGGTTAGGAAGCAAGATTATAGGTGGTCAAACCAAAGTCTGGTGTTAAATCATGAAGTCTTTGGCAAGTTGACTTTAATCACGCAGAGAGATGTAGACTGTCATCCGGTTGAGTTCATCGGAATTCTAAGAATCAGCTGCTTCAGAATATTGGTGATACGGCTCAAAATATTTCTCGATAGTGCAGATGTATTCAGTCTTTGTAATCTACTATATCCATTAAAGCGTTGTCTCGTATTTATCCATGTTACTATTCTCTCTCTCTCCCTACAATTCTTGATCACTACAGTTCTGTTTTTCAGTCTTTTCTGTAACTTTTTGTGCTGCATGAAGTGTGACAAATTGAACTGCCGTACTTTTTTTGAGAAGTTTTACGCTCAGTACTCAATCGTTCAGTAAGTCAGTCCGATGAGCCACATCTCTACCTGTAGGCAGTCAGACTAGAGGAGCAGTATATATATATATATAATATGTAACATGGATGAGCCATAGCTTTTTCGCATTACAAATGACTCATCATATCCTTTCTTGACCGTGACAGTACATAATTTTTAGAAAAGATGATGACAACCTTCATAAATTCCTGTAAATCACTGATAAAATCAAGCTTGTTTGTGAACGTAATGGCCTTCAAAAGGCGAAAACTTATAAGTTGCTAACTATATGATATTTTATATTGTACATGATGATAAATCATGTCATCCTGAAGAGAATACAAGATTAACTGGATGCAGAAAGAACTCGACAAGGTCAAAACAAGCTGGATCCATGAAAGGCAAATCATGTACTGATCAAATTACAACTCTCTTTTCATCATAGGACAAGGCATAGAATGGCAGTCAAACCTCTATATTATTATTGTTTCGAATAAAGTGATTACTATTGTTATTAATTTCATCAACTTCGAAAAGGCCTTCATCAAATAGCGTTTACCGAGAAGTAATTTGGAAACTACTTGAACACTATGACGTGCTCCAAATCTTTATCCATCTCGTTCGACAGGTGTATGATAATGTCACTTGTCAGGTGATCTACAACAGAATACTGAGTGAAGCCTGTGAAGTGCACACAGGAGTAAGAGAAGGCTGGCTGGCTGGCTGCCTATCATCACAGATGATATTCTCAATTTTGGTGGACTAGATTATGCGGAAAGCTCTGCATGGAAGCGAGAAGACAGAAATACACTGGACCACCGATAAGAAGACACTAGAAGATCTGGATTTCACAGATAGTAGATGTCTAATATCACGCAAACTCTAAGACCTACAGTCGAAAACCAACGAGCTGGCAGACGATGCAAAAACAGGACTTCAAGTGAACATACAGAAGACGGAGGTGATTAAGATAACCAACCAACTAACAACAACAACAACAACAATAAGCGTCGATCAACATCAAAGGGAGCAGTTTGAAAGAGGTTACTCCCTCCAATTATCTACGAAGCTTTGTTTCAACGAAAGCAGACAGGTACGGATGAAGATTTCAAAGCCAGACAGACAGAATTAGAAAGGCAAGATACGTCTGAATCAACCTAAAATCAGTGTGGAAGTCTTCTGCACACAGTCGGCATAAACAATAAGATTCAGATTCTGTCAACACCAATGTGAAGTCAGTCAATCACTTTTATATGGATAAGAAACTTGGCTAGCGCATCACGAAAAGCACTTCTGACAGGTTAATGTAGACTTTTATAAATAGCTGTCTTCACCTCGATATTGAAAATCAAATAGCCAGAAATAATCAGCAAAGAGAAACTCTGGAAACGAATGAACCAATCAAGAACCTGTTGTTCAACAAATATGTAGAAGAAAATGGAGATGAATTGGGCACATACTACTAAGGAGACCGTTGAATGACACCGCACGTCAGGCCATCGAGTGAAATCAGAGTGCGAAATGACGATTGAGTCGTCCAAGGGTGACATGAAGGAAATAGTGAGAGCAGATGAGAGACTATTGGCAATCTTTGGCCCAGCTAAAGAGGTTTGCAGGAGAATAAAACAAAGTGGAAGTGTGCTTTTGAAGTCCTATGTCCCACTAGGAATCCAGGCGAACAATAATAATAGTAATAGATGATGTGATATTAACTTCCATCTGTGTATGATATGATGGCTACATATAACAGCTATGCTTTTACACTATCTTTAATTTTATGAAACTACTACAACCATAAATATAATATCTGTAGTAATAGTCGCAAGAAATTCCCACAATCGCAGGTTCCACAAACAAGTTTTCCAATACTCTTGGTTCACGGGAAAATCAGTAACAAAGGAGATGAAAAGGTCATAAAAACGTTTCTCTATAAATGATGAAAGAATATTCGTTACGTATTACAATTTATGAGATAATCGACTTATAGGATCTATTTAAGGAAGCCAGAATTATGAGCATTAGACAATAGGTAATAGGAATAGACATGTCTCTGAAAGATTTATTTCCCCAAGAGTGGAAAACACCTACACAATGGCAATAGCCAAATAATCACATTATTAATTAAGCACAATGGTTATTTTGTGCAGAATGTAAGTCAAATCCGTATACATATTCACACTAATGGTTGTGTAACCTTATTTTTTGCCATAGCTAAGAAAGGCAATAAGACATTTTAAAGATAAGCCATTTTAAGTATAGAACCGTAGGTGAAACACCACTAAAACTTCCAACAAAATGAGTAAGCACATTCAACATAACACGTATGGATAGCAAAGTCAAAGAGTTATTTATCACTTGAAACAAACAACCTAAAATCTCTAAAGACAATACCATCACAGTTAATGAGGGGATGTATGTCATTAGCTCACAATCTGCTCTACTTCAGACTATTTAGGAGTTTTTCGGGAGATGGAATGCCTTTGAGAATCTGTCGAACATAATATAGGCCTACACACTTCCCTAACAAGGATTTTCTGATTTCCTTCACGTTCTCAGTGGAACATAGGACCTCAAGCTAGTGGCTTGAAGTTTCTGTAGCAGTGTTTAATTTTAAAGGATGGGGTTGCTAGCCTCATGCCCAACCTTTCCTCTTTACCAGCATTATTTCTGGCTTAGCGAGGAAACAAATATAAAAGATTGGCAATTTAAAAGTAGAAAATACTAGTTCTATACTATGTCGTCTAAATATAAGAAAGTATAAGCTAGTTGTTTAAAAGTCATAAATACACCTTTTGCTTACTTGGCTTGAATAACTATGTCAAATCCGCAATTCCTTGGGTGCAGAGTCAGATTCACACTAAGCTTATGACTCAGTACTGGGAGGTCTACACAAGACTAAACTAATATAAACATAACAGAAAAACTTCTCATAATGACAGATGATGATACCAAGTACTTTCTACAACTTTATTGTTATCGACCTGTTATAACATAATACTAAGTGTTTTTAACAAACAAATCTACTTGATACAAAATCTTATCAGTTAAGCAAAAAGTCATTGATATGCATTCAATTTTAACATCTGTAGTTCATTTTTCCCTCGAAATGGATCATAAGTATAAAATTTTTCAGGTGAATTCTGCAGTTATAACGAACGAAGATCCCTTCCCCCTCCCCCCAAAAAATGCTAATTTTGTACAACTAAAATCCACATAAAATTTAGAAATATTAATCGTATCACAAAAATATAGTACGGGAATGAAAAATAAAACACTCTAGTTAAAGCTAAGTTACATTAACAGTATAAAACTAAGGTGAGTTAATAAAGCTTACCTCTGGATCTGTACATTTCTGTGTAGATACAACATTTTCAGTCACCGGATCTGTGTTCGTATTAATGGTTTGACTTGTTGGAACTTTGTATGTTGTCTTTGCATGATGAAGTATTTTAACATTCTCAATATTATTTAACTGCTTTGCATGATATGACTGTCTGCTATTAGACACCGGGTGACTAGATGCTGAACGTTGATATGGTGATTTTGAACGTTTAGTTAGTGATGTTGTACGTCTGGTTGACTTAGGTAAATGTTTCGTTTTGCTAGATGGACTTAATCCATGACTGATTGGATCATCATAGGTTGTACTCTTAGAGCGTACTCTTTTAGAAAAACGAAATTTCATTTCCTCTAGAGTTCGAGAATGATCACCGCTAGAGGATGGTGCATTCTGACGTTGGACAACAAAAGATCCGAGCTCTCGAACAGCATCCAACATTTTATCATAAGCTTCCTGATTGCTTTTAAAGTTCTAAATAAAACAGGAACAAATCGGTTTTATAAAGACAACAAATTCATACCTTTTTTGATAAACTTTTGTGTTTGGATGATCGGTCAACTTCCAAAATCTGAGAATACAAAATTATATCAAAACAAAAATGGTACCTTGTTGACAGCTACATGCAATTTCTTAAGATGATGTTTGAAAATTTGTGACGAAGATGATTCCTGAATAAATATGATAGACAAATTCCAGAAAACTTACGCCAAATGGCCTTGGGTTATTCGTTTGAAATCGTTGGAGTTGAGTGGATTCATTGGTCGATTGTGGAACCACCAAATGTCCTCCAGACTCATTATTTTCTGAAGCTTCATCATTAACAACGTTATTTTCTCTCGATATATACTGTAATGACCTCAATTCAGTCTGGTGAACGAACTTTAGTTACATTTACGTAAAACAGAAATTTATTCTTACTTGGAAATCATTATCCTCTGGTTCAGGAGAGCTCATGATGAAAACATTCAAAATATGTAACAAGCACTAAACTTCGTCCAGTGAATAAACGAAGTAAACCTTTAACTTATCAAGCAATTTGACGCGTGGCTACTTCAAGCAATCCTGTCAAGCTAGCCGCTCTACTAGTTTCCATGCGCTAATGATACAAGTACTCCTGTAAAACAAAATGTCATCATTCGAAATTAATGGCTTCAAAATACCTTGGGATTACTTTACAGTAACAGTAGACTGTTCCAAAGTATGAGACTGCTACGACAATCATCACAGAAAAGAATGTGATTTGGACAGTGAGAGGATAACAGGAAAAATTGAAGAAGTGGGAAAAATTGGATAAGTAAAGTGACATAAGAGACAATACTGAGACTAAAAGTACTGTGGAAGTCACTGGAAAATAAATAGGGAGTTTAGAAAATCCAGGTTCGCTATAGACTGTTCCTATTGGAAGGGTAAATTTGAATGATGCTTTAGGGTGGCGTAGTGAAACTGATGCATGTTTTAGGGTTTATACGCATTTCTAACTCTCACACTGCATTCCAACATTCCGAAGTCCCTTGGAAAACCACTCAAGTAGTTCATACTACCTATACGTATTCATACATCCATGTCCTTGTTGCACAGTAATGATTGTATTGTCTTCTGCACTTTGGTACATACCACCCCCGTGATTCTTTTATGTGGTAGACTGTGTGACGGCACAACATAGAGTCTGGGAGTTCCGTGAATGCCAAGTTCACGCTCCATGTGCATGTATGGCAATTCCGATTCCTTTCTTTTGTCTTCTATATCTCCTGATGGAAAAGACACAGCCTAAATTTATATCCGTGCATGATATGGTGCAGATCAGCTGTTTTTGTCATAATAGTGGTCTTAATATCCGGATGAGAATGCATGAACCTGAGTGCCTCCAGTTTTCTTCTCCACTTCCTCAAATCTCTGTACAGACACAATCAGTTGAGTCTTGGTGCCTGAATTGGCTGTCTCATCTGATCGTACCTCTGAGGACAGATGAAGTGTGGCTTTTCGGCATTGCGACAGTTGCACTATGTTTGCACCATGTTTGTTATCTAATCTCTTATCTTCAGCTCTGCTGGAGGCAGAGTGGGAATGAAGACAGGATCCAGTTCAGAACTTTCAGCTGTCCCACTTGGACACTAAACACTTCAACTACTCATATTGTTGGATGAGTAATAAAATTGGGCAAGAGAACAAGAGGAAAGTAGTCTAGTAAGGGTAAATACGAAGAAGACAAATTACCGACTTTACTTACCGGATAAATCAGATTCACTGTAGAAAACCCAGCCGAGAATCAAGTCCTGTTCAGCTCGTTGAATTAAAAAGATACTGTGCCTGAAGTGCACAGGAGTCTGATAAAGAATCGAGGGTCGCTAGAATACCATGTCCCTGGGTAAACGGGATCGTTCTGTTTGAAGCAGAAGTTCGATGAGTATATCGTACACCTGCAGTTGAATTCACGCAGAAATGCTATAAACTAATGAAGTTTTATGGGCTATGCCCTGCATAGTTCTGTACTCTTATTTTCCGTGCGTTGATTTTTTGCATCTGCTGGAGTTGTTACGTTTGATCACACTACTAAATACGTCCATTTGAGCTTAGTTCATTAAGCACAATTACTTTGCTCCCAATAATATTTGCCACGGTTTCTAAGTCGGTTACTTTCTGGGTTCAACGTTTTGGGTTCTTCCAAAATCTCAAAAGATATATCAGTTTTTCAGTGCTACGGGTTATTTGAATAAGTGGTATTTGCTCATGCCTTTGGTAGTTGAATCAAACTACAAATCTTTGGTGAATGAACAAAGGAGTAAGACGCATAATCCCGATTTAATGAATGCCATTTTAGGTTGAAACTACTAAGACATCCATCCCGCCCTCACGTAAGAGTCAAATGCATTAGGCACGCGTTCGTATCCATGATACTAACACAAAACTATCGGTGTGTGCATGAATATCTAATGAAAGGCTTTAAATTTCTAAACTTAGTTGTACAGAATTACGAGTGGTCACAGATGATAACGGCAACTTAGCCTTAGGTTGAGAGATGCTTCAATTTGGAGACAGTTATCGCAAGCTCCCTCACACTTGGTGACTTACGAGATATACTGTGACAGACGGACACATGGATCATTGTTTACGTGACCCGTAAATTAGTCATTTTACGATCTCATACAAGGTGTAGGAACACTGGAGTTTTGCTGATGCATATTATTCAGTTGAAACCAGTTTTTACATCTTGAGCTAGTTATTTTTGGTAATGTAAAATGATTGCACGATTATAATGACCGCGACTTAGGTATTTTGGTCTTAATGCAGGAAATAAGACTATATGTTCTCTCCAGTTTTCTAAATGCTCTTGACTTATCAACTGTCAGAATTTATATTTCAGAAATTTCAAAACGTGATTCGAAGTGACAAAACTCGTCGTACTATTAATCAACAGTAAGTCGTAACAAAGATGAAAAGGCTACCTCGTCAGTTTCGTCAGAAAACTATATAGTCAAAAGATTTCTCACATACAAAATACACATTGTACAGCGGAACTAATAATTCAAACGCGTCGTAGAACATTTCTAATGAGGAGTCAAAAATTTATCTTTAAGAGTCAAATAGAACAAAGCATGTTCCCGCAGACATTCTCTGGGCAGTAAGTCACTTAAATGCATATTCTTTTGACACATAAAAAACCGCACTGGTAAAACAACAATTCGTTATTCATCACAGACGACCTGAAGACCACCCGTGCCGTCCTCAGTCCTTGGCTTTGAGACGTTCGAAAGCCCTTGACTGTTCCTCCGTAGGGTGTTGTTCGCCAGGTATCGGTGAGTGCGCTACCGAGTATGCCTTGTTTATTTTCGAGAAGCCTCTTTTATTTAAGGAAAATGATCCTATAGCTACTTCAAAACAGTTATGCCGTGAGGCTGCATATATCGTCACCATATTGAGCCTTCATCCCTTCCTCTTAATACCCAACCTTCAGCTTTTCTTTCTGAAACGAGGGACATGTTTGACCCTCTGCCTAGGAGGGCGTACATTTCTAGACACCCTTTCGGCCCGAACAACTTCTCAGGAACTAGATCAAGTTAGACCCTCCCAGTATTGTTCTCATGTCCAGAAAGTGTCACTGATTTTACAGCCTTAATATTATCTTCCGAACGTGGCATTACGTATGTTTCACGAAGGAAAAGATATTGCGGTATGGCCTAGTTTGAGGCGAGCATAATAAACACTTAACTTCCCAACATTTTGTTCACTCATTCTATTGTTACGCCCTCCCAAGCTATGAGAACCCTTACACAGAATGCAGCTACTAGATTTCCCTAGGATACTCTCAGACTGCCTTGCAATACACCATTCAACTAAATCACAATAATATAGATGATACTATTTCCCTGCAGCCCACTTCTTCCTGGCGTCTGCGTCGTGCCTAAGTAGCATCCAGTAACGCTCTGTTGTCTGCAAACATAACCAGATCCTTGAACTCTGGCTCTCTACCAGTCACCAAAGCTCTGTCAGCTACATCAGCCCATTGTGTTTGCATTTCGATAGAGGGACTCCTGATGATTCGTTCCAGATTTTTGGGAGAGTTCAGGTCAGAAATAATTCCAGTACTACTCAACTGTGGAGCTCAGAGACTCCTTCAAGTCGGACACGAACTCGTCCTCAGACTTACAATATAGCTCAGGATCTGTCTGTCTGTCTGTTTTCGACATAGAACTATACACAAATGTGCGGAAGTTCAAGTCGCCACATTCCGTGTAGCACGCGAAGCAAGAGAAGAAAGTACAAGAAAAGCATAATAGAAACAGTGAGCAGAGGTGTGAGACAAAGGAGTAATAAAGAAATACAAAACAGTTTCATTGAAGATTATTAGTCACAAGGAGTGGATGCATCTGCGCCACTGAGAACGATTTTGAGCCATGTCACCAATTGTTTCCAACCATAGATTTTTACCGTCCCGAGGACCCCAGCCTGGAAGTCTACACCTTTCTACGTGGCTTAGACCAACTGTTGTAGATTTCATTGACTAGTGAAGCCAAGTTTTTGTTTGACCGCCGCTAGCTTTTTTCCAGCCTGACCCTATATCCGCTAACATTGCTCGTCGAGGGAGGCGATGGCTTGGCATACGTAACACATGTCCTAACCATCTCAGTCAAGCTGCCTCAGCCCCTCTTCTAATTCTACCTTTCTTACCCTTTCGATTAACAGACATGTTAATATAGACCAAACCTACCAACTCATAAAAAGTAAATCATGTGACGAGAAAGTTTAAAATCTAAGTCAATAAAAATGATCAATACATATGTAAAGATGGTTACAGGGAGATGCAATTCTATCACTCATGGAAAATTTAAATCAGTTAACTTTATGCTAAAATTGCGCTTAAGATGTTGTCCAGAAGGACGTCGAAAGCTCCACATCTTAATCAACCAGCTCAGAGAACACTACTAATTGCAAATATAGCTCTGTTTGGACATTTATATTGTTGTTGTATCCTCTTTCCACTAAAGCGACCAGAATTTGGGCAAACAACAAACACGAACAAAGAGTAAGTTGTAGTTTTAATAATGACCTAGGTGGTTAAGATAAAGCAGAGTACAATAGTGCGTGAATAAAAAGATTATTATGAGGTACATAAGTGATATTTAAGTGAGGAATGAATTCAAAGATCTGGAAAATTAGGACCCATAGGACAAGCTGACCTTGATCCCCCTTATATCTCATTAAACCTAACATTTAATAGCTCTATATGAGTTTGATTCGACTTATTCTACTCCTATTCTCTGTAGAGTACGGCTGTGCACCAAATAGACAAAAATGCATGAAACTTTAAGAAACTATGCGCAATAACTAACACGAAAAACCAGAACGCAAATTGGTGACTCAAGAACCGTTTATTCTTGCACCAATACAGAGCCAACTGTCAATGTAGTTGAAGATTGAACGATCAATTCATGGTTGTTTGCTCAAAACCAACTTCC